ACTTGCACTGAATTTTTTGAGAACTTATTATTATATTGACAACCATTATTCCACCTGTAATTATCATTTAAACATAACCTTTATTGCTAAGTAAATGTTATAATAATTACATTTCAGAAAACTAGAAATTTTGTGAACAAGCTAAGTTTTGTGGCGGTTTTTTTATTTTTTATTCATTTAACTGTTTTCTTCCTTTTTATTTCTTAATCACTCTAGTACTTCGTTTTCTCTTTTTAGGTTGTTCTTCATCATCCTGTTCTTCGCTTTCCCCTATTGAATTTGCACACTCATCAGATAGTATTATCTTTTTTTCATCGTTTTTAGTTTGTTCTCCTTCACTGTTATTCTCATTGTCCAAGTTCGAATAGTTCGTTTGTTTGAAAGTTGTATTCGTATTTGTATTCGAGATTGTAAAAGCAGGAAAGGTCTTAGATGACGTAGTTGTTACAACGGTGCTGTAGTCAGAAGATTGATTATGGGATGTCGATATAGTTCTGGATTCAGCATCATCTGCGATAATATCTATAATTGAGCGAATCTTTGTTATATTATTGGATGAGGTTTCAGGCATGTTGAAATTACTGTTTGAGATCTTTTCATAATTGATATTTGTAGCCTCTATCATCATTTTACCGAAATCAGAGAATTTAACAATCCCTGATATGAGATAAGTATTTCTGATTTTAATGTTAATTCCTGATATACCTAAGTGTTTAAATTTTACTGACTTAGAAGAATAAAGAACGATCATCTCCATTTTGATATTAAATAATCCAGTGACTGAATTATATTCTATGCTTTCTGCTCCAAAATGGATAAAGTCTTTGGTTCTTTTTGGACTACGATTTACGCTAACAGAAATTATGCAGTGAGGATTACATATAGGAATGCTAGTTATATTAAATTCCCATTTAGGTCTTCCATTATCAATAATGTTAGCATATGCAACGCTCACACATTCTTCATGATTTTCGACTATGTATTTGCCTGCAATGTTTTCAGGATTAAATGATTGAGGCAATACATCTGAAGGAAAAAAGTATTTCCATCTAATTGTATGTGATGTTTGTTGGGAAAGCTTGTATTTAGCAAATCTGTAGGAAAATAGTCGATTATTTTTAATGGAGATAATGACGACAAGAAGAGCGATGAGAGACAGCATTTTTTTTTTGTTGGTATTTGAAAATTGGCATATTATAAATAGAAAAAAAAATTTTTTTTGTAATATTGAAACTAATCTGTATATAGAAATGTCAATTTTTTTGGTTATCCTATATCAATAAGATATGATTTATCTATTCAAGTTTTTAATATTTATTTTCTGATTAATATGATTTCTATTGTTTAATTGATAATCTGCCTATCAACTGGAGAATAGACGAAATGAGAGGTTGGTCATCTAAATCTTTTTTCTTACTAAGTTACTAATACATGCTTACTAATTGAAAGTTGCAGAGTTCGTCAAAACGCATCTAACAGTGGTTAGATCATCCAAATCGGCCTAGTGGATGGCGAGATATTGTTGAAATATAATTGGCTGACTATATAAAAATTCGGGATGGAAATTACATATGAAAATCACTATCGGCGAAATGTGGTTGTTTTCATTTAAAACTTTTTTCTTATAAGTTAACTATACATTCCCATTAAATAAAATTGTAGAGCTTGTCAAGACGCATCTAACGGTAGTTATATCATCCAAATCGGCCTAGTGGATGGCAAGATATCGTCGAAAAACAATTGGCTAACTATATAAAATCTCTATGTAAACAATGTTTGTTTATATAGAGATTTTATATAGTCGGCCAATCATTTTTTGATAATATCTCACCAACACTGGGCCAATTTGGATGATCTAACCACCATTAGATGTGTCTTGATAAGAAAAAAAAAGTTTTAGATGAAAGCATGCCACATTTTACCAATAGTAATTTTTATATATAATTTCCAGCATGAATTTTTATATAGTTAACCAATCATATTTTGATGATATCTTACCATCCACTAGACCAATTTGGATGATCTAACCACTGTTTGATGCATCTCTAAGAGTTCTACAATTTTTAATTAATAAGCATATATTGTTAATTTAGTAAGAAAAAATATTTTATATGGCAGATGTCTCATTTCACCTATTCTCCAATTGATAGAAGGATTATCAATTAGAATGTTACTATCTATTTTACAATCAAAATTTTTGTTATTATAAAAGTCAAATTCAAATGAACTTCCTAATATGATTAATAATTTGACAGTGTTATATCTTCACAATTTTGTGTTCATGATATTATTAGGTGAAATCTTGTCATTACTAAATTTTTTAGAAAATGTGGTGTGAGATTTACCTTTAAATCAATAACCAAAAAATAATGCATACTTTTTAAAGTTAGTTGCTAATTTTTATTGTTCATGAAACCTGATTAATGCTTGCTTACTTGTTATCATTATTGCATAAGATAATATATGAAATTTACCATTATATTAATTAGAAATACTATAATTATATTATATTTCTATATGTGCATCTCTAGAAAATACTGTAGTACAAAAATCAAAAACTCTTTCTGCTTATCATCTGTACACAAAATTTCGTCACAATAATTTTCACATTTTTCTCAATTTACAGAAATTTTATTAAGTTAACAACCTTTTGTCTCTTAATAACATTTGTTCAGCTACTATTTTTACATATAATTGTAAAATTTCAAGTCTGTATCTCTCATCTTTCTTGAGATATTTGATTTACAAGAACAGACGGACAAAACTCTGTTCTCTCCCCAAATTTCTGCCGTTTCTGGCAAACTTGGCTTAATAATATACTGATACCTCATAATTGAATTTGTAAAGCTTATCTCTGGCTTCAAAACAAAATATAGTACATCAAATTTGACCTAAAATTGATCATTTTAGAATCGAAAATAT